AAAGCTTCTATCATTGTAAAGAATACTTATATCATCAGGAACAGAATGTTGGTAGACATATGAATGTTAAAAAGTGCTTCCGGTAAGGTTTCAGAAGGAAATGAGAAGCATGTTACTAGAAATAGGAAAGATAATCCTTGTTATAAAGTGGCAGAAAACATGGCTGAATCATTGTGAAGTTGGGGAAAATCTAGGAAGACCACTCTCACTTTTTTTAATAATAATATTTCATTGAGCTTTTGGTGAAAGTTGACATAGCAAGTTAGGTTCCCATGTAGCAGTTTCCATACAAATTGTTCAGTGACATTTATCACAATGTGCCAACATTCTCTTAATTGTGTTCTGTTTGCCCTTTCTGGGACTTTAGTTTTACTGACTCCTTATCTTCTCATCTTTACTTTTAAGCAATTTTTGGTTTTTGGCCTTATAGGTAGAGCACCAGTTTTACGGGTAATATCCTTTATTTTGTGTGCCACTCTGCTATTTCACTAAAAAAGTAATCTCAGAGAACAGGCTTGGTTCTAGGTTTAAAGAGTGTCTCAGGGTGATAGCCTCAGGGAGTCTTCTGTTCTCTACTGTTTCAGTTTCTCTGGCTTTAAAAAAAAAAAATAAATAAGAATTTTAGCTTTGCTCCATATTTTTCTCACATTCTATCCATGAAAAATTATTTTGACCCCAGTCAGAATGGTCAGTGGTGGTACCTAGCACCATCTAGTTCTAATCCCAGGGTAGATGAGGTTGTGGTTCATATAGACTTATTTCTCCTCTGAACTTTTGGTTATCTTCTTACTGTTTTGCTACAGGTGAGTAGAGACCCATAACTAGGTCTTAGATGGTCACTAGCAAGCTTTTAAGACCCAAGACATTACTCACTTTACTAAGATGCAGATCATGATTTTTGTGAACTATATTATGCCAATTGAAAGTTATCCCATGAGGCTATGGTAGTAAGCTTTCTTAGTCAGAAAACCAATCTGGAAGGTGTTTGTTAATATCTGAGGAGTGAAACATATTTGTGTCTTCAATGAATATATTTGCCTGCACCCACATATTTGTATTAACACATGCTTATAGATAGATACTTCTACCTGTTCTCCCATATGCACACAACTATATCTATCCATATATCAATTTTTTTGTACCCATACATATGTGCTCAAACACTTATTTTTAATTTGGTTGTGCTGTGTTTGAATGTATCCACATTCAGTGCCACTTTTCCCATCACCAAAAATAACAAATCCTTATGATATAAAGCATACTTTCCCCTGCCCCCTCCTCTTCCTGGTAACCACCAATGAATATTGTTGTTGTTGTTATGTACTGTCAAGTCAGACCCAACTCATAGCGACCCCTCCTTGGGTTTCTGAGGCAGTATCACTACAGAAGTAGATTGCCCCATCTTCCTTCCAAGGAGTGGCTGGAAGTGATCTAAGTGATCAGCCCCATTTATTTATAGGCATCCTCATCTGTCAGCTTAGAAGTGAAAAGAATACTGCGTTTCATAAACTTTGCCTATTTGGACTAGACTGTCAAAGCAGAGCTCACCAATGGCTCCCTGAAAATACATAAAGAACAGTGGCTTCTATAAAAGAAATCCCACCTAGTGGTTAAAGTGTGCGTCATCAGACTCAAATTTGAATCCTGATTCTGCCATTCATTAACCATGCAACTTTGGGCAATTATTTAGCTTTTAGATTACAGAGTGGCATGTGTTGTTGTTGTTATTGTTGTTGGCTGCCATTGAGTTAATTCCAACTCATGGCAATGCTATGTGTGCAGAACAGAACTGCTCCACAGGATTTTCAGAAACAGATTGTCAGGCCTGTCTTCTGTGGCCCGATGGATGGATTTGAACCACCATCCTTTTGACTAGTAGCCAAGCACCTGAATGTCACATAATGGAGCTCTGGTAGCATAGTGCCTAAGGCACTTGATTGCTAACCAGAAGGCTGGTGGTTCAAATCCACCAGCCACTCCTGGGAAGGAAGGTGGGGCAATCTACTTCCATAGTGATACTGCCTCGGCAACCCAAGGAAGGGTCGCTTTGGGTCAGGGCTGACTCGACAGCACACAACAATAACAACAAATAAATGTTACCTCCTATATAGCTCTAATTTTTGTAGTCATTATGTTTGTATGCTCATATGCCTGCTTGTCTCTGCAGGATACTTTTCTCTGATGACTTATTTTTTCCATACCTGGAAATGGCTACCCTTGTCCCAAACTTATATGACTTTTTATTTCAAAATCCAACAGCAGCTAATTAAAATCCTTGTGTCACTTAATTCAGTTTCTCGAAATAGAGACTTTGATGTGTGTTCAAGTCAGTCTGTATATTAGCTATCACTGACCCAACCCACTATAGCTAGGAAGACAAAGTCTCTTTAAAGAAGATGCTTATAGGGAGCCAAAAGCAAACATTTCCATACACTGAAGCTTTTTAAATTGTATGTATTCAAACCTGTTTATCTCTTCCTTGCTTATGCCTTGAGTTCATGCTTTAAAAAAACTTCTTATTTCAAGTTTATATACTCATCCACATATTATTTTATTTTTTATTCTCCATATATACACTCTAATTTTAATTTACTTACTAGAATGCCATTTTTCTTTTCTCTGTGTAGTTAGTAGCTATTTGTCCCAACATGATTTATTAAATAGCTCACACTTTTCTCACTAATTTGAAATACTATTATTATTAGTAACACTGCAATTACTACTAACAATAATAATAGCATTTACTGAATGCTATCTGTGTGTCGAATTTTGTGCTAAGTACATTACATGCATTATTTCAGCTTAACATTATTATTACCCAAATGTTATAGCTGAGAAGTAGCATACTTGGGATTCACACCCAGGTCATCTGACTCAATAATTCATCTTTTAGCCACTGTACTATTCTTATAAATAATTTGAATTTATTTTTGGCTTAAACAATAAGGAAAATTATTGACATAACTGGAAGTCCAGATGTAGGGTAGGTTTCACAGTTGGCATGGCTCAAGCTCAATGTTCTCATGATTCTCTTGGCTCTGCTCTCTTCCATATGTGGCTTCATCAGGCTCACAGTGAGTTAGCTGCAGCAATTCCAATCCTCATATCCATGAACAAAATGTTTAGTGGAAGAGAAACAGCGTTGCTACTTTTGGAAACTCAGAAGAATGATGAATTTTCCAAGACACAGCAACAAAATTCTCCTCAGGTCTCACTGGTCCAGAATGGGTCACACATTCATTTCTGTATCAATCATGGACAAGTGGGATGAGATTAAATAGATGATACAAGCATTGGAACCTCTATATTTTTAAAAAATATTATGAAATTGAGTTTCACATCAGTAAAGAAAGGATGGGTTATTCAATAAAAATGTGCTCAAAGCAAAGAATACCAGAAAGATGTTTACTTGTGTTTTATTGATTATGTAAAAGCATTAGACTGTATGAATCATAACAAATTATGGATAACATTGAGAAGAATGGAAATTCCAGAACACTTAATTGTACTCATGAGGATCCTGTACATAGATCTGGAGCTTGTCACTCAAACAGAACAAGGGGATACTGGATGGTTTAAAATCAGGAAGGAAGTGTATCAGGATTGTATCCTTTCACCACACTTATTCAATCTGTGTGCTGAGCATATAATCTAAGAAACTGGACTATATGAAGAAGAGCATGGCATCAGAATTGGAGGAAGACTCGTTAACTACTTGAAATATGCAGATGACACAACCTTGCTTGCTGAAAGTGAAGATTACTTGAAGCATTTACTTATAAAAATTAAAGACTACACTCTGCAGTATGGATTATACTTCAACATAAAGAAGATGAAAATCCTCACAACTAGACCAATATGCAGCATCATGATAAATGAGAGAAAAGATTGAAGTTGTCAAAGATTTCATATTACTTGGTTCCACAATCAACACCAATGGAAGCAACAGTCAAGAAATCAGATGATGTATTGCACTAGGCAAATCTGCAAAAGACCTCTTTAAAGTACTGAGGAGCAAAGATATCTCTTTGAAGACTAAGGTGCACCTAATCCAACCCATGGTGTTTGCAATTGCCTCATATACATGTGAAAGCTGGATGATGAATAGGGAAGACCAAAGAAGAGTTGATGCTTTTGAGTTATGGTGCTGGTGAAGAAGACTGAAAGTACTATGGTCTGCCAGAAGAACTAACAAATCTGTCCTGGCAAAAGTGCAGCTGGAATGCTCCTTAGAAGCAAGAATGGCCAGACTTGGTCTCACCAACTTTGGTCATGTTGTCAGAAGAGACCATTCCCTGGAGAAGGATATCATGCTTGGTAAAATGGAGGGTCAGCCAAAAGGGGAGGGCCCTCAACAAGGTGGATTGACACAATGGCTGCAATAATGGGCTCAGGTATAGCAAGCATTGTGAAACTGGATCAGGACCAGGCAGTGTTTCATTCTGTTGTACATGGAGTCGCTATGAGTCAGAGCTGACTCCATGGCACCTAACAACAACAACACTACTATTCAATAAAATATAGTAAGAAAAGTGCTTTGGGTAGAAAAGCAAGATAAAGATTGCACAAAGACAAGGGTTTTCATCCCCTTTAGTTAGAAGCTAAAACATACCCTTTTCATTATCAGTGACAAATCACTGAGTTGGCAGAAGGCTCTTGCCAAACCCATAGATCCCCAGTTCTCTTGAGTCAGAAGTGTAGGAGTTGGTAGTTGTGCAATGGCTCTTTTGTCTCTCAGCTTATTTACACCCTTACTAAAAATGTAACTAATCCTTCTTCAACAAAGGCTGCATTGCAGCCCACCTGTCTCTGCAAAGGGACTTCTTCAATACCTCAATGATTTTTCCTTTCAGCAATTCAACAGAGCAGAACAATCTTCATACAGAAAAAGGAGAAACTAAGACTCAAAAGGGTAAGAGGACTCCATAGGAGTCTCAAAACTTGATACAGATGAGAAAATGGATGACCTTGCTAACCCATTTCTTTAATATATCATTTAGGGAAAATAGCTAATCCACTTGTTGCTCCCTATTCTGCAAGCAAGTTTGCTCTTGACGGGTTCTTCTCTTCCATCAGAGCAGAATATTCAGTGACCAAAGTCAACGTCTCAATCACTCTCTGTGTCCTCGGTCTCATAAATACAGGTAAGGTCAAGACATTGGAGTAAATGACTAGTAAATGAATTGCTTGTCTTGCCACTATGAGTAAAGAAGGTTGCTGAACTCTCTGACTCATGGGTAATGCACTAAAACATGTGAGAGAAAGCACTCAGAGAAAAGAGAAGTCCTCTCATTTAATGGAGGACTTCTGTCACTAGTGGAACTTCTGACCACTCTTTGACCCTCCTTTCCATTCTTACCACCAAATTTTCTAGGTGACACCATACTTACCACTCAATCTCTCTTTAAACATCCTCTGTCCTCATGGACACTCAATAGCCATACTTTTCTATATGACACTTACCAAATACAAGTTTGTGTTTTTTAGACAATATCACCTATAACAGACATCAATATCATGAATCCCTTGATGATGCACTGAGAAGGATACAGCAACATTTTTGCATATTCTTGTCAAGAATGCATAATCTTACTCATGACAGAATATTAGAACACCCCAATTGAGGGATATGCTATGCTACAAATCAACTGATTAGTACTCTTCAAAATGAGACAAGGAAAGACTAAGATTGAAGGAGATGAAAGAGAAATAACTAAATCCAAACTTGGCTAGGATCCTGAGACAGGAAAAAGGCAATAGGGAAAAAAATAAGGTCTGTAGTTGTTGTACCCATGCTTGATAATTACACAAAGGTTATGTATGATGTTAAGATTAGGAGATTAGGGGAAGCAGGGTGAGGGATATAAGGGAACATTTTGTACAACTTTTGCAACTTTTCTGTAAGCCCATATATACGTATGTGTGTGTGTGTGTATATATATATATATATACATATATTAGAGAGAGAGGAAGAGAGAGACAAGAAAGGGATGGAGAGAGAGAGAAAGGACATGAAAACTTGGAAGGACAAAGAAGGTAACAATAGAATTACTTTCTAAATGAAAAGTGACCAGTGTTGACAAGAGAGCAAAAGCCTGGATTCTTGTCCATCTCTTCCTCTTATAAGTTGTAGGTCATTATCACACAGCACTTTCTTTTTGCCCACTGAGTCTTCCCATTAGCTACTGTCCATCACGTGACTTCAATTCTCCTTCTGGCCCCCTACATGCCTCCCAACCAAAACATCAAAGAAGTAATGATTCAAATCTCCCAACTAATCACTTCTAACTACTCCAGCAAATCTTCATCTGCAAAGACAGGGCCCATATTAGCCCTGTGTTCTCTCTTTGTCCCACAGGCCCTAAGCATACCTAGTCTTCTCTACGTGCTTCCAACAAGGCTGAGCAAGCACTGGCAAACAGTCCCTGGCAGCTAAGCTGTTGGTGTTTGCATACTTTCCATCACGTAGACTGTACGTTTTTGATAACCCATTCTTCCTTTGTCATTCTACAGAAACAGCCATGAAGGCAATTTCTGGAATAATTGATAGAGAACCAGCTCCAAAGGATGAATGTGCCCTGGAAATCATCAAAGGGGGTGCCCTGCGCCAAGAAGAAGTATATTATGATAATTCACTCTGGAATGTTCTCCTGCTAGGAAATCCAGGGAGGAAGCTCCTGGAATTTCTCTATTTAAGGAGTTATAATATGGATAAACTTATAAACAACTAGGAACTTCCTTAAGGCTAGGCACTGTGGGGGAGCCTGAGACTGTTCTGCCTGATATTTATCTGAGTTCCAGCCATGAAGCCATACTGCAGAGAAACAGAGTATCCTTAGAGATTTTTAAGTCACAGGTCACATCTCACAATCTGAAGGGGTTCCTCTAACAGTTGCAAAGTGGAAATTTAATTATAATAAATGTCAAGAACACTGCAGCTTGCAGTGCTGCAATAACCACAGCAATTGGTTAGTAAGCACAGGTGTAATTATAAGGTAATCATACCAAATTTTCTTATGTATAATAATATTATGATGCTTAATACAATATTAATTATAATGAAATCACATAAACTTTAAAATTCTTAACTGGTAGCTATAACTTGAATTCATTCAATATGGTTACATCCATAAATCAGACAAGTGTTATCTTTCAATGTTCACTTCATAATTTGTGATATGAACAACAGAACCTTCCTGAGTTGTAAAAATCACCCTACTTTTCATTTGGAGAATATAATGTGTTTATCATTTCTGTATATTTTATATGTTCTTTATATTCTTTTATATTGCTCCTCTTGGAAGGAGGACACCTGGGCATGAGTCACTAGGGTAAATCCAAAGGAGTGGAGATCCCTGGAAGCTGAAGCTCCAGAACCTGTGCCTGTTCATGGGGCTGAGTACATCAAGCATTTCTATTTTATGTGTGAATACTCAGCTGTACACTGGAAGTTTAGAGAAGAGGGGTTGGAATTCAAATCCTGCCATTCAAGCATTTCACTGGTCATTCATTTTGCAAATAGTTTTCAAACACTTGCTTGACATCACTTGACAATGACTCAATGTGAAACAAAATATCAGCTATACTAACAGTTCAGCAAAGCCCTAAGTTGATCAGGGCCACAAGAGGTAAGAGATGGCATACTCAAATCAGATAATTTTAGTAGATATGGTAGTTAAGTTTGTATGTCAACTTGGCTGCTCCATGATTCTAAGTGGCTTAGCAGCTATGATGTTGTTATTCCCTATGATGAGATCTGATATAATGTAATCACCTCCATTATGAGATATGCTATGAGCAGTCAATCAGCTGAAAGGGAGTTTCCTTCAGGGTGTAGCCTGCTTCCAGTATATATCAAAAAACTTTGGGAAAGATCTCAGGCTTTTGCTCATTTTGGATCCTGCATTTGGCTCGTCATCATCTCCAGTTCCTGGACTTGAACCAGTGGCCTGCTATGTTGCCAGCTGATCTTGGAATTGTTGTCTTCACAACCTGTAAGCCAACAGTCTGCCATTTTACCTTCCAATCTTGGATTTATCAGCCTCTGAAGCCAGCCAATCTGGAGTTCATCAGCCCCTGCAGCTACGTAAGTCAGGAGAAGCCTCCAGCTTGACGTTTGATGCATGGACTTGAGACTTGTCAACCACTACAACTGTGTGAGCATTTCCTTGAGATAAATTTATTTCTCTTTTATATACATGTAGGAGCTCTGGTAGCATAGTGCCTAAGGCACTTGACTGCTAACCAGAAGGCTGGTGGTTCAAACCCACCAGCTACTCTTCGGAAGGAAGGTTGGGCAATCTAGTTCCATAGTAATACCACCTCAGAAACCCAAGGAGGGGTCACCATGATTCGGGTCCAACTTGATGGCACATAACAACAACAACATATATACACATATCCCAAGTCATGTATTTTCAATAGCCTCGTATGCATGTGAAAGCTGGACAATTAATAAGAAAGACCAAAGAAGAGTTGATGCCTTTGAATTGTGGTGTTGGCAAAGAATACTGAAAATAACATGGACTGCCAGAACTAACAAATCTGTCCTAAAGGAAGTGTAGCCAGAATGCTCCTTGGAAGTGACTTTGGCCACACTTCGTCTCACGTACTTCGATCGTGTTGTGAGAAGGGACGAGCCCCTGGAGAAGGATATGATGCTTAGTAAAGTAGAGGGTCAACAAAAAAGAGGAAGACCTCAACATAATGTATTGACACAGTGGCTGCAACAATTGGCTAAAATATAGCAAGGATTGTGAGGCTGGTGCAGGATCACGCAGTATTTCATTCTGTTGTACCTAGCAGTCTCTATGAGTAGGAGCTGACTCCATGGCACCTAACAACAACAATATACACATTGCACTGGTTTTGCTTCTCTAGAGAGCCCAGCCTAAGAAATTTTGTACTGGGAGTGGTTCTAGAGAAATAAAATTGTAAGGATAAGTTTTCTAAATTGGTTCTCAAGTTTCATTAGTCATAAAAGCACTGATAAAAGCACTCCATTAGTAAAGAGACCACCACTAATCCATGGCTGTTGTTGTTGTTGTTATGTGCCATCGAGTCAGACCCAACTCATAGTGACCCCTCCTTGGGTTTCCGAGGCAGTATCACTACAGAAGTAGATTGCCCCATCTTCCTTCCAAGGAGTGGCTGGTGGGTTTGAACCGCCAGCCTTCTGGTTAGCAGTCAAGTACCTTAGGCACTAAGCTACCAGAGCTCCTGTAATCCATGGTATGAGGTGGCAATATTGATACACAAAACAGAACCACCAATAGATCAAGTATTGGTGAGAAGTGAGGCTCTGGATGATCAAATATTTGATATTTTTCTGCAATTTTGTCAGAATGATGAGTATAAGGAAGGTGGATAGTTTATCCTACTTATGCTACACAAAGTGGTGAAAGAACTAGATGATCTCAGAGCTTTGGAATCACAGCTCAAGTGCCACATAAAAGACCTCAATGCTTACAATTGTGCCCTGAAAGGAAACCTTATTTCTTGTAGTAACAGAGCTGGTATTGCTGAAAACCAAACTCAGAGTCTTATCATAAGAGTGGCTGAATTATAACACCAACTGAATTGCCAACTTTGAATGGCCTCTGAAGTTAAAATGAGGGCACTGATTGGGAAGAAATTGGATCCTGAAACTTGTGATGGGGACATATGGGCAGAGAATCAGGAAGATGGGGACACTGGGCCCTTAAATTCCATCAAATCATTCCTGCCACTTGTACCATCCCTCCCATCTAAGGAGATTACTACATCTTTATCTGCTAAGCCACCATCTCCAGTAAAATCATTAGCCTTTCCAATATCATTTGATGTGATTAACCCAGCTGTGCCTGCTGAGATGGCACCTGGATGTTGTCTGGGGCATCATCTAAGGTAGATGGATTATAAGACATTGCTGAATATTCCCAGGAACTACCTCCACAACCCATTGTTGCTTCTAGACTCATAATTAGACTTAAGTCCCAGTGATCCCCAAAAGGTGAAGTACAAAGTGTGACCCAGGAAGAAGTATATTACGCTCCAAAAGAATTGCTTGATTTTTCTAATATGTACAAACAGAACCTGGAGGATATGTGTGGGAATGATTATTAAGAGTGTTGGATAATGGTGTATGGAACATAATGTTGGATCAGTCTGAGTTTATTGATTTGGACCCATAGCCACAGATCCTTCATCAATGTTTCAGCTCAAGATGTTAGGAAAGGATCTCATAGTTTATTTGGCTGGTTTTCCAAAGCATGGATTATGCAGTGGCCTCCACTAAATCAAGGTGCAATACCATACCTGCCATGGTATGATGTAAAAGAAGGTATCCAAAGGCTTGTTCTTGTTATATGCCGTCAAGTTAGACCCTACTCATAGCAACCCCTCCTTGGGTTTCCAAGGCAGTATCACTACAGAAGTAGATTGCCCAACCTTCCTTCTGAGGAGTGGCTGGAGAATGGACTTATCAGGTTAGACCCATAGGCCCATACATGCAACACCCAAAGGACACACTTCTAATCATTATGATGAAGAACAAATTTGTGAAAGGAGCCCCACCATCCATGAAGACTGATGTGATTGCTATTTTAAGTAGGCCAGATTTGACAGTGAGAACTGCCCTAATTGAATTAAGACACATAATACAGTGGGATTTATTGAATCCTATGGTGGTAGGAGCCAAGTGGCAGCACTTAATTGGCAAGAACAAGGTGGGCATGGTTACTGTAAGAGACAACAGAGTCAAAGCAGTAATGAGAATAATCCAACTCATATGGATTTATGGCATTGCGTACTTAAGCATGCTTTCTTCATGGATGATGTTCTTGATGTCATCCCACAATTCCTCTGGTTTTCAGTCTGGTGTGCAATGCATCAAATCTATTCTTTAAATGGTCTCTAAATTCAGGAGGGATATTATCAAGGTCATATTTTGGCTCTTGGGGACTCGTTTTAATTATCTTCAACTTCAGCTTGAATGTGCATATGAGCAGTTGATGGTCTGTTCCACAATCAGTTCCTGGCCTTGTTTTGGCCAAAGATATTGAACTTCTCCATCGCCTCTTGTCACAGATTTAGTCAAGCTATTTCCTGTGTATTCCATCTGGTGAATTCCACGTGTGTAGTCATTGCTTATGTTGTTGAAAAAAGGTATTTGCAATGAATAAGTCATTGGTCTTGCAAAATTCTACCATGTGATCTCCAGCGTTATTTCTATCACTAACGCCGTATTTTCCAACTGCCAGTAACTCTTCTTTGTTTCCAACTTTCGCATTCCAGTCACTAGTGATAATCAACACATCTTGATTGCATGTTCAGTCCATTTCAGACTGCAGAAGTTGGTAGAAATCTTCAATTTCCTCATCTTTGGCTTTGGTGCTTGGTGTATAAATTCGAATAATAGTAGTATTAACTGATCTTTGTTGCAGGCTTATGGGTATTATCCTATCACTAACAGTGTTGTACTTCAGGACAGATCTTGAAACACCCTTTGTGACAATGAATGTCACACCATTGCTCTTCAATTTGTCATTCCTGGCATACAAGTTCATATGGTTGTCTGATTGAAAATGGCCCAAACCAGCCCATCTCAGCTCACTAATGCCTAGAATATCAATCTTTATGCATTCTATTTCATTTTCGACAACTTCCAATTTTCCTAGATTCATACTTTGTACATTCCACGTTCCAATTATTAATGGATGTTTGCATCTGTTTCTACTCATTTTGAGTCATG